TAATGTAAACCTTTAGATTTTAACGGTCATGCAATTGGTTTCACCTGATGAGTGTGGTCCTCTGGACCATACGAAACAATATTGTAGTGAAAATTACATCATGGAAATACAGTAGTTTGTTCTGTAATTTTCTATTTTATTTTATATAAAACAAAACAGTTTGCTGAAGAAGGCCGAAGTGCCGAAACGTTCATTAAAAAGTAGAAAACCTAGTTACAAGTTGCGTGGCTTTTTCTTCATTTATTCTATTTATATATATATATATACACCTAACCAAAAAAATTCTGCAAATTCGAAAAAGTCCGATATATATATGTCTTTTGTATTTCCATCAAACGATAATGACAGTTGCCATGACACGGACTATAATATATTACAATGGCTCTCCGATTGCTTTGTCTTGGGTCGTCCTTAGAGTATTGGAGTAAAATAAACACATAACTCTAAATGAAAAATAGACCATGTCGCGATCCTGAAATAAATAAAGTAAACGTCTTCAAATGTAAAAGATATTTCCTGTTGCATTCGTGTTTCTTCAAAGCATTTTTATGCAATGTATGGACATARCCACTATTTTATTTTAACTGTCTTGCGCTTAAACATCCTTAAAAAAAGTTGACATCAGCATCACATCACAATGAGCTCGTTAAGATAGCTAATTACATTAMTCGCWMTTCATCTTAATGAGTGAAGCCGGGGGGAGTAAGTCCTAAAAATAAAAACGAACCTAACGGCAGTTTATTGAAATTGAARACTTCAATCTCTTAAAGATGTAATACGTCGTTTCTGGATAGGCATTTTAGAGTCATTTCTAAAAATTAATATCAATTTCGCAGATATGGTCTATAGGGGTAGTTCAATAGAARTATTAATCAGCTTGAATAGTACACAGATGAACATAATGGTGGCTCATTATTTATCCTTATTAATTACTCTGTTTTGTGTTGTTTTAAGCACTAGAACTGTTTTCTTTCACTACTAGTCTCATATTTAGTAGTACGTCGTTGTCAATCGTTTCTTTGCAAAAAATATAAAGGACATAAATCACTCTAATTAACAACGTCATTAGCTATCCAGCATCAATTGCCACTGCTTGTGTCACGGATTAAGTGCATGCACTTCATTGGTTGAATTTTTAAAGGATTCTTTTATAAAAAAATATCTTTTAACTCCCTGTTGATCACTCGCCCGCCTATATAAGCTCGTTAAAAATTTCGTTAGTTGGATGTGAAAGTATCAAAATGGCTGAAAGTCACTGTCRAAAAGTGAACGTGCGGTTGTACGTGGACATGTCCAACAAGCGGACTTTTAAAAAGTTTACTATTGAAAGCTTTCCGGTTTTCAAAAAAGTTGAAGAGTGTAAAGAAAGCCTCTTACTTACGTACCAAGACGAATTATCACATCTCAAGCTTACGAAAGAAACATTGCAGTTGGGATACGTCGGATATTCAAATACAAAAACTAATATAGAAACCGACACAGACTTAAAGCACGCTTATGAATCGGGTCATGTGCACAAAGATAAATGCCCACTTTTTTCAATGGCCAAAAAGGAAGAAATCAACAAGAAGAGAAAAGCCTTTTCAATGAGCCTAGGTGAGTAGAGAATATCCGTTAAGAATGCGTAGAATCACTCTAGCAATAAAATCAAGCATGTATCAAGCGAATGTTTCAAGTTAATCCAAATAGGTGAGGCTAAGCTATGGTCTTGTCACAGTGTATAGACCGAAAAAGCCTTTATATGAATATTCTCTTAATTAGATTCATCAAGCGATGATGATGCTAAGGCAATGCCGCCTACACAGCAGGCTAAAAAGACGAAGAAGAAAAGCGAGCAGGAAAGAATAGACGATCTTGTTGACAAGCTGAAGAAAGAAAATGGCGACAATTGGGGTATAGCAGACTACAGGCTGTGGGCCGTTGCCCTGGTAATTTTTGTTATTTTTATTGTCAGTTTTAACCATCTCTTCATTTTTTTCATATAATTTATGTTTCTTTTAGGACAGAAAACTCCACCAGAGTTTCAAAGAACCGCCAAACTACCCACATTTCAAAAAACAAAAGAAGCAGACTAAAACAGACAAGTGTACTGCAAACATAAGCACTAGAAAGGTAAATAGTGTTGATTGTGTGACTGTTTTATGAATATTTCACATTAACAAAAAATTAATTAACGAGACAATACATGATATTAAACGATAACAATTAAATAAGTGCTAAACTAATTACTTTTAATTTTAATCCGTGTAATGATCCATTGTCATGTATACCTCATCATTTTTCGAACTTACTTTCATAGACACGAACAGAGCTATTGRAAAATTTAAAAACTCTTCACGAGCTTCAGCAATGTGGAATTCTSACCAAGGACGAAGTGGACAAACAGAAAGCTCAAATCATGACGGAATTAAATAGTATAGTAGAATAATGAATGTAAATAGTTAAACAGATAAGAAAGGTACCTATTTATGAAAGAAAATTCATTTGTTCTGGGCTYGAGTAAAACCATGTAGATAGTACCCGTAGTTTGTAAAATGAAWATGGCTATCCTATGACAAAAGAAAAAATGATCTTGAAATTCTTAGAACAAAAATAAAAGAATGATAGAAAAGAAATGATATAAATAATGCAGCATKTATGAATAATAGATAGAGCAAACACAGGAAAACCATGAAATACAATCAAGCTAAATAGCCGTTTGATTTTATTTCATGGCCGGTTTTCCTGCTTTGACTAGTGGGTCCGCGGTCCACTATTTTAAACATTTTTAAAATATCCTCAGTGCCAACATGCTGCGTTTTCCTTGATAAGGAAAACTGTTCATTTTACTTCATCTATACACTAGCAACTTTACCTAGCCCCAGGTCCTTTTAATCTTAATTGTTCTTTGCGAACACTATTGACTAAATTGGACGAGCCTACTTACTGAGCGTGTAAAAACTAGCATGCGTTCACTCGATCTAATATTTAATATCCACAGTGACCAYATAAATATTGAAGTTTTTGAAGACTGATATCAAGAAATGATTGAATAATCAAATTATGCATATCATAAACAGGAGCAGTCATAAATAAGTCGTCATCCTCTCGAAGGTAGCATTTGGACAGAGAAAACATTCCTTCAATGGGATTCAGCTCTGGACTATATGGTGGCAGATACAAAATATGTGCACCGCTGTTTCTGATGATTTGCTCTACTTGTGGTATATGGTGAGCTGCGTGGTTGTCTGAAAAGAAAGATACTGATCATTATGCTGTCTTGACGAAAATTTCATATGTGACTTTATTTCCAGTAAACTGCAATTTTAAAAGTCCAGAAATCTGCGTGACATTGTGACAAGGCAAATTGCATTATTCAGTTCATTGAAGTTATAATGAGATCATGAGAATAATTGCATTTACCCATAACTACTACTGAATTTGGATTAATTCCATCGTATGGCCTGAGCGATGGAACCAGATTTCTCCTTAAAAAGTGCGTAAATTGGGCTCCATCAAAGTTGTCTGTGTTCATCYCAAGTGCCAGCAAACCTGATTCGTAGGAAATGGCAGCCATAACAGTGGTTCTTGGACCTTTGTTGGGCATGTATTGCCCAAATGCAGGGTGTCCACTGAACTGCCAACCGTAATTTCTCGATATAGAACGATCCTTGAAATAGGATAAAATGATATCATAAAACACTTGCATTGATTGTCTGAAATGTGCAAACAATTGGTTTCTATCAGAGAATTATATAGAAGYAAGGCTTTCAATCGAAGAGGTGTTGTTATTTGTGTTCCTTTTTTCCGCTTTCAGCTCGGGATTCAAAGCGTTTTACTTGCTCTCCAAAGAATCCCACGTATTTCTAATAGAGAATGGAAAATATTTTTTAATGCAATATTGCTCGCATAGAAACGTTTCAGAACGGTAATGTGCGTATTCCGCGAGAAACAAGACAACATATCTTCGTACTTGATTAATTGAAGTATAATTGAATTTYACTATAATGCTCACATAAAACGATTCGTCAAGAAAGACAAGTTCTTCGGGACGATAAACTGACACTACTTGCTTGAAACGATCAACCAAATGATATCTCTTTCGAGCAGAAACCTTTTTTAGCTGAAATGCATAAAAAGTATTAATAAAGACGAACTTTGGAGCACAGCTCAAAAAGAAACATATAAAACGCTAAGCGTAAGATTATTTTCTGGACACTGTTTTCCCACTACCTATGTAAAGCTTTTCAAAAAAGACAATGTTTAGCGCCCGCTCGGAAATGACATTAAGAAAACTGAGTCCCTCTTTTAGCCTGACTATTAATTTCGTCGATGCATTGGAATTAAATAATATGTACTTATTGACTGAATGAGAGGGCCGTACGTGAAAATATTTGCCTCGAGGTTATGCCGTACGGAACGAGCTCACCGTACGCCCCGACCTAACTCAGTCAATAAGCATTTTATCATATGACATCCTTTTTTTAAGACAAAAATAAAAGCGCGCGGAACTTCGAGCCGGCAAGATACGGATTTGTACGGCCCTGTTGCGAAAAGGCGTACGGCCCCCATCACGTGACCATTTTTCAAAGGTTTCAAACCATCAGAGCGCGCGTATAGGGCCGAAATACGGGTCATATGACAATTGTACATTCCACACGCGCAAGGATAAAAGAGGGTCCAGTACTGTATTTTAAGGCCCGGTTCATACGTCGAGCCAGCGTCGCGCCGAACCGAATAGTCAATTTGTGTCGACCCAAATCCATTTGGTACGTCGTTGATTCATA